TTGACAAATTTATTTACAAGTTCTCGTGTGTCTTAGATTTTAATAATGAGCAATAACAATATTTTTTGTAGAGAATTTTTTATGCTACTCATAAAATTAACTACAAAATGGCTCTGCAGAGTCGGTTAGCCTTTCTACCCCTTAAAGGCGAGTGATTAGGATTTCCAATAATTTTTTTAACTGAGTAAACAACTCCCATAATCAATCATTAAGTTTGATTTGTAAATAAAATTTAGTTAACTGACCCTTTGTTATAATCGTTGTGTGAGTGTTCACCGAGTGCGTAGGTATCTTCAGTTAAGCCAGTATGCTGTCTTTTTGGCAACTTGTGGACATGGGCTTAACGTGAGTTGAGAAAGTCACTAATCGTCCCATCTCGCTCATCACCCAATCTTTGACTCCAAAAGGTTTTGCTAAAAAATTATCCAAGACGGGAAATACAAAGGCATCTCCGCTCGTCCAACAGCCCAGCTTAGGATTTCATAATACCACAGCAGCTTAGCAGGAAGCTTTCCCAGTTAACCTTGACAACCTGGGAAAAACCTCTAACATGAACAAAAGTGAAAAGTTGTATCCCTGATAGTGTCAATCACTAAAAAAAGCTTCAGTGACATGCTGATATAGGAAGCCTATTTAACCTTCGAATCAACTTGCGTATGCAATTATGAAACTATAAAGCCGTGATTTCTGAATTCATGTCACTATGACAGGTTTTCAAGAGCAACTGTGTCCTTCAAACACCGTAATTTCTGAATTACGTGCAACCATTTTCGTGCAAAACTACACCTTTGTAAAAATCGCAGAAACACACTGCTACGTCTAAACAACTGGACTTGCTGAATCTGACATAAAACAACAACTTCAAATGCAAGACCCTTATTGCTATTCAAATGTCCTACTTATATAGGTCTTTTTGAAGACTTCTTCTAACTCTAAATCTGCCAAAAACATTTTAGATAAAGAATGTGAAACGAACAAAAACTGAACTCCAGTACCTCTTTTGATTTTTGTCTGCGAGTCAAAACTCTAAACTAAAATAAACTTACTGCTAAAGTATGAAGGCATTAAACTCCGCAAGGTAGTTAAATTTTCTAATGGAGTTAAAGTCGGTATCATGTTGGTTCACGACTTACGGCTCATAACATTGTATATTGAGAGGAGTAAGATCAAATATCCTACTCCATGGCTGACGCAAGACGTAAATTCAAGTTCGTTGTTTGGGGACTCCTCCAAAATCTTACGGAACCCGAAGTTCTTGAATAATTAAATAGTGCAACCTCACGTATAGTTTTAAATGATTTTTTTAACGCTTGATACCTTTTCTTCTTTTTTTACATTAAGTGAAAAACGTGAAACATAATTAAGGACATATCATGTACTTACTGTATGTATAATTAAAAAAACAGTTACAATTGAAAATTAAGTGATTGAAACTTGTACGACACAACCTTAACTTTGTCGTGGACAAAAATTATTGAAAAATGCAAAAATACTTAAAAAAAACTTACCTACCAACAAACTATTGTTTTAAAATTCAATAAATAAAATTTAAAGTTATGTTATAATAAATTTTAAATAGTAGCAACGTTGAATGCCAACAAAATATTAAGTTTGTAGGGTGTAAGAACGAGTATGCAATTAATAGGCCAAGCGGTGCGGTATTTCGTTGAATGACACTCCTAAACCTCCTTCAGCTTGCTAAACTAAACCAAGCAAACCATTGAGACTAAAATAACATTAGCTGAGTCGAGTGAGCGTTGCATGAGGCATTAAAGCCAGGAGAAACTACTATTGCTCAGATAGCGATTAGGCCTGACTAAACCAGCAACAACTGCGTGTTAGGTGCGATGAAAGTGGATTGACGAATGACACATTTCTCCCTGCTTGAATCCGTTGACACTGCGAGTAAAGTCTACTCACAAGTAACAGCACAGTGACGCTACGAGATTGGCACGTTCAGTGGCACTAATTTCGAACAGGGGGGTACATTCATTGTATTTCATGCTTTTTATACATATTTAAATTTGACGCTAAGCATGCATCTACTTTAGCAACACTACGTGCTGTCAACTATAAAATTAGAATACATCTGTTGCTAATATCATCACACTATTGGTAGCACTGTTTCATTTTAATAATACGCTAATTGCAACCATACCGAAAAAATTTTCTCCCACCTAATTTCATAATAGAACCACATTTCGTAAAAGTTAAGCCTGAAAAAATCTTGAGCATTTTGAGATACACATGTCTCACTTTTGTTGTTCTATCGATTTTCTGGCCCATTTTTGTTGGTGAAGCTGCAGAATAAAATGAAAAAGGTTTAGTTACCGGGGCTTCGTATGTTTCTCAAACTTACCTCGTAGCACTTCTAGGCTGTTCGATATTTTAAAAATCAATGCACAGAGAGCTACTTGAAATAAGATTAATTTTCTTTTTTTTTTTTCTTTTTAACTCTGAGAAAACGATTACAGTCGATCTAACGTGTGTCCCAGTATACATAATGAAAGTTTTTTGTAGTTTCCATGAAGTGATACATATTACAAGTTTAAATGTTCTATCATCTTAATAATGTTATAAAAATTAGGATCCATATTTAAAATTTTTTCATGATATACTTCTAAAAACAAAACTTAATTTAATAATCTAGTGTATTCAACTAGCAATAAAACTTAGTTTAAGTAAATAAAAAGTTTTTATTAAGGAATACGAAACCTTTAACACACTATGCATTTTAAATAGCGTATCCCACTATTAGTCTCATTGTGTTCCAGTGTTAGATTTTTTCTATAAATCTAAGCAAGTGGTGTTGTGCTACTACACAAAATTAATTTATCTTTGAGACTAAATAAATCAACGCTTTAAAAAACTAACGTAATATGTTTTTTAATTGTTACATTTTAAAATAATCTTTTGTTCATTATACGTCAGGTTGTTGTAAATTGAAAATAAAGTTTGTCTTGTTTGATTTTGTTATTTTACCTTATGTAACATAAAGACTTTTTTTTTAACTATTTGATGGACTTGCCCAATGCTTCGAAAAATTTATAATTGTACTCATAAGAACTTGAAAGTAAAACAGAAATTTGTTAGTATTATACGCGTAGCCATTTTAAGGTTCCAAACATTGTTCATATCATTACTTGATTGTAAGGCAACTTCTCCAACTTTATATTTAGAACACAGTGTTATTTTAAATATACAGTTGTAATAGTATGACTATCTTTCATGGAAACATACATGTTATATCATAGTTAATCATACACCGCATTAAGATGAAAAATCATTTAAATATTGTGCTAGAATAATAATCTACTGTCACTATTTTTTCTTGCGACTTTTTACTTTGGGCAATTTCCTGGACAGTAATTTTGATAGTATAAACACTAAAAATCACTTACATTACTATAACAATTACTGTTCTAAACTATTAAAATTATTGTTCAAACTAAAACATTTTTAGTAACGGAATTTTCCGATTGTATTGTATTAAAACCTTTTACAAAACCTATACATTTAAAATCATTGTATACACATAGAATTACTTATACGTATTATATTTGACATCATGTGATTGTAGCAGAATAGGCGGCTCAATAAGCAAAGCGAAGCGTCGAGAAGAATTAGCGTAAAGCGGCAGTTCCAGCAAGGAGTCGATAGTGAGTGGTAGGCTCGTACCCTATAGCTCACTGTCCATCTTCTGTAACTCTACCAAAACCAAGCGAATAGATTAACATCGCATAAGACTTGCTTTGTCCATTATCGTAAGAGATAAGCTCCTTTTGTAATGTTTTAAGATTGTCAAAATTTATGAAACAACAAATTTAATTCTAATTTTAGAGTAAATTTATCTCATGTTTGCTTTTGGTGTGTATATATGTATGAATGTAGTAGAGACGACTTTTGGGCTCGTACCCTGACCTTTCTTTTACTTCCTTCTTCAGCGATTATATAGGTCACTATCTTGTGATTAAGATAATCATCGTTGAATCAACGAAAAGACAACAGTGGAAACAACTTATCCTCGTGAAAAGGAATCGCCTTGAAGAGCATAAGATAATTACACTTTTCGTGGGCACCCAAAAACCTTTCCAAAATAGTTTACGTTTAAGCACTAGCATTGCTGACACCAAAAGCATTTCTATTCTGTCCTTAGTCCTGCTTAATTACCTCCTGGAAGGTTATAAAATGTATAAATCCATAGTTTTACCTATGCTCCGTGTTTGATGGAATCTACATAACGTTCACCTATTTAATCCTATATTGTAATGAAATAATGTAAGCATGTCAGATTTAAATTATTACACACTAAATATAAATTTCTCACCTGCTACGTACATACATATGCATTGATACATATTTCGGAAAGTAGTAAACAAGGCCAAGGCCGTTCAAATTCAAAGGAGTTCATGCGCAAGGAAGGCCGTTGAACCGAGTCAATACGATGATAAACATACATTCAAGGTGCGCAAAGAACTTGAAGAAGCTATAGAAGCTTATACTCTTGATGTCAGAACAGCACCATTTTACCATTCTAGCATAGTAATTTTTATTGGTTTTTTTTTCTTTTAGTGACTTAATATGACAAGGCAAATCAGGATACGTTTAAAATTACGATATAATCTCTCCCCATTTAGTTGATGATTAAAACATCCATTAATTTTTTTTATCATTTCATCAAAAAGACTTATGAGTAAAGGAAATTTTTTAACTAAATTATTTTCTTAATGTTGAAAAATGCAATTATTTTTCGCTCTTCTAATTAATCTTAGAGTTTTTCAATATTCCGATCTATCTGAATCCTCTTCGCATTAACAAAAGATTACTTTAGTCAAAATTATTGATTTTTAAGTGAATTTATTTTATGAATCATAACTCACGCCGATGATATGTGTATTAAACTTATTTTCTTGTACAAAATAGCTATTACTTCTTTCAATACACTTTAATAAGAACAAATAAGTATCACTATTATTTAATCTTGCTTATTTCTACCGCAGCTGCCATACAAAGCTGGATTGAAACCAGTACACACGCGACTGAACGCTGAAGATCTTAAGCTCAATCTGGTGCAAATATCACGGCACCGCTTTTCGGAAGTGGTGCTGAAGTTGGTCGAATTTTTAAAACGTACTCGTGACGGCTCGACTGACTCGAGCGGCAGAGTAGTGTTTCAACAGCGACAGTACTACGAGTCAGCAATAATGCTACTTGAAGCAATGTGGCGTTGTCTCGACCAGCATGAGCCCGAGAACATTAGTAGGCACGACATAACTGTCGTCAAGGACAAACTACTGCCTGAAATCTGCCAGATTCTTCGTAAGCAAAGTTTTTTTTAAAATCGATGAAAGTTATTTTATCTTGTTTGTTGCTTTTACTGTGCAAGAACGTCTTTATACGTATCAGACTGTTGTATATGTGTACACGCACGCACGCACGCACACACACACATATTCCTATATTATGTAGTTGTTTTATTACATAGCAAAAAATATGCTAGCTCCACATTTAGCCCCCTGCAGCCTCCACAGGTATTTTCTGCCCCCCACAGACTCCCCACACTATTCTAACTTTCCAAGCATAAGAATAAAATGTATGCACCTAATTGTTCTTAACGTATTTACTCTCTCCATAGTCCGGACATTTTTTTGATAATTCTCAAATAACCTTATTACATCGATACCAAAGGCTGCGGTTACATGGGTAGACAAAAACCAGCAGAACGTCACAACGTCAGAGAGAAAAGTTGATTATCCTACTACAGTTTTTACTTGTTGTGTAACCTTATTTAATACTGTAATTTAACTTGTATCACTTAACCAAGATTGTTTGCATGTCAATGCAATCTGCAAGATTTAATTACACTTACACCTTTATTGAGAGAGGTGTACAGTATTAAATGTACCCATCTGTAGGTTAGGTGTAATTGTTTGATCCGTATATATTTTACATATAAAGTATACTTAGTATTATTAAAGGTGTCTATTTATTACTCATTAAAACCAAAGACTTGTTAACACAATAGTATACCTGACAAATTGAATATTATGTAAATAAACTTATAATGGAATTCCTTAAGAGGTTTGAAGAATAACAAATAAATTATCTGTTAAGAACGATGTTTGAACAACTACACTACTAGATTTTTTATCTAATGAATAAATAATTCTAATCAGAGTCATCGATTGTACTTAAAAAATAAACATAAATCACGATGTGCGTGTATAAATTAATTAATATCATACACGAACCCCCACAGCCCCCCTCAGAAAAAGTTGTTTACAAATACCCCCCCACCACAAAATACGATGAAATTTGTTCGTTTTTTTCGTGATTTTGACATAGCGGAAAAATATGGTAGCCCCACATTTAGTCCCCCCATGCCCCCACACTATTATAACGTACCACGCATCGTTATCAGTCTATTTTTCCAGGCCGCCCATGAGGCAAGTAGTCACACTTTACACTTAAAAAATTTTTGTGCAACACATTCTATCAGTTATTAATCAAACGTAGAAGATATCTTAACTTTTCAAATTAAATTCATACACGTCGAATATATAAAAATATATTTACGCTTACGAACTGCAAAACTGAACAGTTTATACTATTTTAGTACTATACGGTTTGTATTATTTTAGTACTACGTAATTTTCAATGATCGAAACACATATTATTATAACATAATAGAAATAAATGAATCATTTAAAAACTTACATAATAACATTAATAATCTAAACCATGGAAGTTTTCCAGAAGTTCGACTAAAATTTTTAGAAAATAATACATTTTTTAACGTTGAAAGTTTTCATCTGAATTTCTTAAAAATTTGGTTATACTTTTGATTTTTTTTTTTTAACACAAACACTTTATAATTTATAGCAGACTTTCTACATTTTTTACAAAAATTCAAGCAGTGTTCCAATTTAAATATTAAAAATTTTGTTAAAAAAGCTTTCGGCATTAGCCCTATCTAACCATGAAAAGACAGAACTCCCCTCTGTCAACTTTTTAAGAAATTAACAGTAATAAACATCAATGTAAATGTTATTGTTATTTTTCAAAAAAGAACCTGTCTTTTACTAATTCCTTGGATTTATATGTAGTAAAAACAATTAAAAAGGATACTAAATGAAAAAAAACATGCCCATAACTTTTACAACACTATAACTAAAGTACTTCGAAATTTTTCTAAATAATAATAGACTAACAAATAATTGAAGTATAAATACATTCGTAAATAATTGTTTTTAATACTTATAATAAAAATGCATATAAAATCGAAATTTTGTTAAAAGTAAATAACTTAATGCACAATTTTTGTCATAAACAAAAATTATAACATTTTTCATTTTCTAACAAGAAAAATTAATTTACGTTTACAAATTAAACTTTTTTAATTTGAAACCATTAGATAAATTATTATTTTCGAAGAAGATGCACTAAATTAATTTACTCAACAAAATGGTGCTATTTTATATATACCATTTTTATTTTTGCATCTTGATACAGCTGTATATAATTGACCATGAGAGAACAAAGGCTTCTGTAAGTATTTAGAATCATTATCGAAACTTTGACCTTGACATTTATTTATAGTCATAGTAAATGCCAAAAATAAAGGAACATGTTTTCTGTATAAATTAAATAATAAAGGAAATTTGTTTCCTGTGTTTAGTGTCATTTTCGGTATAAATATTTAATGTCCAATTCTTTCTCCAGTTATAAGTTCACTCTTAATTTAGTTTTAATATTTTTGTTATTTTTAATCTTGTTCCATTGCAAAAACTATCTGCTATGCTTAAATTTCTTATCAACATAACTATTGCTTCAACATTTAAATTTATTTCACGAAGTGGTAACTCTTTACGAATATCATTCAAAATTTCTATTGGAAAATCTATAAGAATGTTATTGTCTGATTTATCAACATATTTCTACGTAGCCTGATCTACACAATAATAATTTACTAATTTCTTATTCATATTATTCAGAATTTTATTGTTCAATAAAAATGTATACTCATTATGAGAAGTAAGTATTAAGCTTTTAGTTAAAAAACTAATATTCTTGCCAAAAATTTTTAAACATATGTCATTAGCTTTCCATTTTTCTGGTACAATAAATGTTTCGATTTTTCCTTCCCGTATGTCTAACAATAATTAAGAAAACTCTTTATCAGTTGAACGAATGTTCATGTTTAATTTTTAAATTTTAAACGACAATCAAAAGAATGGAGATTTTATTGTTTCAAAAATTACTTTGTTTCTATTACTTTTTCTAATATTGGTAGAATTTGTCGAAAATATCCTCCTAATACTATAAGTTTATCCCCAAAATAAGTTTTTGTATTACATAAATCTTGTAAAGTTCTGTCAACTATTTCGAGTGCTTTTTTGGGAACCATAGATGCTTCATCCCAAATTATTAAATCAACTTAAATTTTTCTTTTTTTTTTTCAGATTCAATTTCTAAAAACGAGCATTCACTGTTGTTTAAATCCAGTGGTAAGTGAAAAGTTCTATGACTGGTCACACCATGAGGAAGTAAAACTGAGCCCATACCAGTCCAAGCCATTGATAAAATTTTTTTTCCTTTTGAAATAAAATAGTAAAATAACGTTTTACATAAAAAATTGCATTTTGTACAAAAATGTTTAAATATATTTACGGTACATTGAATGCAGATCAAATAAGATTTCGAAAATGACATGTGAAGAAAAAAGTAGAATAATCTTTCTATGGTCCTTGTGGTTCAGAAAAAAATTCCAATATAAAACCTTAAAATATTGCATTATTTTTCTTGTTATACAAATTTTAACTATGGCATGGACTCGTGTTGCCTCAATATTACTTTTTAAACGAATGACTCGTCACAGATCTTTTTGTTTACCATTAGATTTGAATAATGTTGACCGTTCATACCTCGAATCAAAGTTGAAAAGAAAAAAATTAAAAGAAAGAGATTTAATAATTTAGGATAAGGCTTCAATGGTCCCAAAAAAAGCATTAGAAATAGTCGACAGCACAAGGAACAAACGTGTTCAGAATTTTGAAGCAACAGTTTTCATTCCAATTCCGCGCAATTTTCCACAGTAGGTGTGATGGCAGCACTGTAAGGCTCACGAATTACAAGCGTGACTAACTTTCAATGTTTTCTAGTTGCGCTCTTTTCTGACACGCTGGCGTATGTGATTGGTCTGCTTTTCCTGTTCGCGTGTTTTTCCATCACATACCGTTATATATACTCATTATTTTTAGTTGGCAACTATTTCTCAGACAGTTAATGCTCAAACTCACTTCATTTAGTATTTCAAGCTAGTTAATCATCATGCACTGTTAGTTGTAGTTAAACTTAGTATATTAAATTATTAATCATATGTACCATATCAGTATCAATAACATACTGTGCAAGTTGATATGCTCATAGAGTAAATTTTATAGAAAAACCGCTCATGTAATACACGTGTTGTGCGGGTAATAGAATCCATCCATCACGGAAGAGCTCAAAATACAGTGGATAAGGCTCAATGCAACCATTTATATTTCATTTGTGCCTTTGTTGCAACAATGTTGTTATCAAGTGTTGTATTGTTCATGAAGATTAAATTCAGTGAAACTCTTACTTAGTTCAAACTCTCTCACACAGATACACTCTCTACAGTTACATGCACACCGACAAGTGTACACATACACTTTCACTGTTATATCTGCTCAAGTGAATATAGATATACTTAGTACTTGTAAAATGAATAGTGTTACTCAGTGACAATTGACTTTTTGTTACTATGTTGTTATTTTTCATAGACTTAGTGTTATCATTCACTTTAAGTTCAGTATATATTATTGTTTTACACAAGTTTAGAGATTATTCAGAATATAATTATTTTCAGTGGAAATATTAATTACAAAATTAAGACTCTTAATATTTGTGATATACCAGTCGTAATTAAAGTTTACTATTATTGTATTCATTTTCTAATTAATGAGTTTTGCATGCTCACACCCACCTGATCTGGCACCTCAGAACTGCATTAACATCAGCACTTAATAATTAAACAATATGAATCTGACGAAAGTATACAGTTAATTTTTCAAGTTAAGGTTTTAAAAGCGATTTACGGAGGCTTACCACCTCATGAGATAAAACTAAACGTAAATGTAGTATTGTTGATAAGAAATTAAAGTATAATAGACAATTTATGTAATGCGTGGGAAAGTATTTTACAGTAAAATTAAGCTAAAAAATAGAAGAAAAATATCGTAATTTGTGGGGAAGGGTGAGGCAGCGTGGGGCTGGGTAGACAAGCGAATCTTAAG